ATCAAATTCAAATCCAGATTTTTTAAATCAAATCAAATTCAAATCCAGATTTTTAAATCAAATTAAATTTAAATAAGCCTAATATTGATTTGATTTGATTTTGAGGAACACTATCTGTATATAACAAAGTATAATTTTTTTTATTTTTATTATTATTATTTTTTTTTATTTAATATAATTTATTAATAGCTATTTTATTTTTATATATATTACTATATTATTAATTGATAATTAGATAATAATTACTCTTTTTTTTTAGTGAAATACAAATTCATAGGTTGTTAAATCTAATTACGTAATTAGATATTGTTAGCTAAATTGTAAATAATTATTATTATTTGAAAGAACTTTCTTTTACCCTTTTCTCAACTCTTAAAGGTATATTTATATAATAATTTTTTCTTTTTTGTATTATTAATTAAATATAATTTACTAATAATTTAATTTTAATACTTATTATTTGACTATTATATATAGTCAACTCTGTCTATTCTGACCTGTCCATTCTTATATGTAAAATTAGTTAAAAAGTTCAGTTCTCAAAGAGTTATTATTAGCTAATCTGAACTTTATAATAAAATTTACAAATATTTTAAAGTTTTTCGTTCAGATTAGAGAGAATTTAATAGTGTTTAGATTAGAGAGGTTCGGATTAGAGAGAGTCGACTGTATATATTAAATTAATAAATATGAATAGAAAGTATAGACAACTTAATACTAGCTATATACTTATTATATTCTTATAATCCTAAACAATATATTTGTCAAATTCAATTTTTTAATAAAAAAGTTGAAATAATATATATAAATAATATCAAAACATGTTGCTTTTTTCAAGAAATTGGAGATATTAGTAATTTTCACAAAAAAATAGCATTTCAATTAGATTCAATTATTAATATTAATAATATTAATAAAACTCCAAATAAAAATAATAAAATTTTAAATTAAAATATGAAAAACTTTATCCTTTTTCTCGTAAATATGCTGTATTCAATTATTAATTTTTGATATATATTCTTTATTGAATAACTTCTACTTTATTAAAATAATAAAATAATACAAATAGATGATGCTAATGAAAACAATAAAATAATACAAGTGGATAACAGTAGTGATACTGATACTGAAGGTTATGAGAAAGATACAAAAGGTGATAATGAAGAAGATAAAAGAAGTGAAGAAGATATGAATAAAGATGATAATTAGAATAATGATGATGATGAATAAAATTTTTTTTTTTTTTTTTTTTGGTGTTAAGGTGACCTCTTGGTTGGGTCTCTTTATTTAGTTATTGATTAACGTTTACTGTACTCTAAGCCCCTCTTGGTGCCTGTATAGTATACATATTTTTGAAGGATATATACTAGCTACATGTACAACTTTTGATTGTCTATTTAAGTAGTCCGCTTATTACTAAGTTCTACATTAGATGCTATACCTGCAACCCAACTAGAGGGTTACCTATTTAAACCCTCTGCGCCATATATTAGTCAACCTTTTCATATAACCAAATTAGGGTATAACCCTTAAGAATCCCAACTTAGAACTTTAAAGCAGTCTCAACTAGCGAGCTCTTTGTCCTTGAGGTAAACTTGCTAGAGCTTTCCGTACTTACAATCTGGCCAGCCTAGGCTTTAGTAGCTTACACTGAGTCTGAAGACAAGTACTTGTGAGCCGAGACCACTACTATTACCTACTTCTGCCCTTGCAGAATTCACTCAGACCCCAGTACATACTTTACAGACTATTACTGATTTTCTCCAACAATCCCAAACTACCAATTCAGATAGCCCGAAAAGGCTGTAACCTGCCCTTGGTCTCCACAGTTGGGTTCTTTTTCTCTGGTTACTCTTCTGGTAGCCTGGTTGGTGGAGTGCCTTGCCAAACACTTTGGTCCCGTTTAGTTTTGCCAGTTCTCTCAGTAACAATCTTTTACATAGTACTGTCAAAGATCTGTGCTACTTCTCTACTCAGGGCTTGCCAAGCGAGTTCCCTACTGCCGTATCAGCCCTGTGGCTTTCTGTGATCTGAAGATCATTTGTGTAACTCATACGTTATACAAAGGCCCCAAGATCTTCCAGTTCTGATGAATTGGTACGACCACAGTTACAAGGTCTTGAGTTTTCCTAGACATGATGATAATTACTGAATCCGTTTTTTGAAATTCAATTTTCGTCTCCAGTGGAAATTAAACTCCTACTCAACCGCTTGGGGGTGCAACAACTTCACCACTTCACTAAGTTGCCACACCCTTGAATAAAATATTAAGCGATAATATAAATTTATAATTTGATTAGTTTTATTAGCTTAAAAAAAACTTACTCTAATTTTTAATTTTAGGCATTGCGACAAAAATCTCTAAATAGGTTAATTAGTCCTCTATACCTGCTTTTCTTTAAAAAGTATCTCAAGATATTATAAACCAATGTGTCATTTTAGTAGCTATTATACAGGATACTAAATTTGACAAAATTGAAATTAATCTAACAAAAAAAATTGCAATACTTAAAAACAATTAAGGTAAAATTATGCTTAAGCCAATTAATTCTATAAAAATGTTAAAATCAATTATAAACATTAAATTTTCTAAATTAGAAAAGGTTAGTAAAAAGCAATTTAACCAAGATCCTTACCTATTTCTTGGCTATTTTGCTAATTTTTAACTACTAAAAAAAGGATATATTGACTAGTAATAAATTAAAAGTTTCAAATTAATATCATAAACTATTAGCTTTTGAAAAAGAACTATCTGTTATTGCATTATTTTATGATAAAAATTCTGCTATTAAAAAAATAATTTTATAAAAGTCTTTTTAAATATCTAAAAGAACTTTTTATACTTTGTAAAACTTTAATAGTTTAATTTGATTCTGCACAGATTAATAGTGAGTTAGCTTTAGAATATAAAAATCTTAGATTATCAAATTCTGATAATAGTTTAGATTTGCAAGATCAGATCATGCTTTTAAGGTCTATGCTACAAATATCTCAGAATCTTAGAATTAGTAACTATTCAAAGTATGATATATTAGATAAAAAATACAAATTTTTACAATATTAATAAATATGTGCTATCAGTCTATTTTTGATTATAATATTTAATTGATACTTGGTTTAATAGGTTAAATGGTAATAGTAAGTAATATTAAGCTTAGTGGCTAAAATAGTATTGAAGTCTTTTGCAGAATATCATTTTGATTTTTGTATAAATTTGAATTAGCATATAATTATTTAATAGAATGGGTAAAAAAATACACAACCTGTGAAAAAAGAACCATGTGTGCAAATTAAGTAAGATTACTACTTACTAAAAAAGAATTACTATCTAATATATTTAATATTAATCAATCAAACAATTCATTTAATATTAAATATGTTATTGATAACAATTCTTTTAAAGTAAGAAAATAAAAAAAGAATCAAGATTTAGAAAGCTATTCAGATTTGAATATAAATATTTCTGGCTTTGTAGGAAATATTTTATCAAGAAAACTTACAACTTTCATTACTGTAGGGTCTTGCTTGTATCAATTACTTGAAATACTTAATAATAATTGGGTACTTCTAGATATAATTGATGATATAAGCATTACTTGATTAGTGAATATAAAAAAAGATGAATGGATAGCTTTTATTAAAAATATTAAAGAATATTAAATGCTTTATATTAAAAATTTTGTATTTGTTTTGCTAAATTGCTTTTATTGTAATATATTGTTTTGTATAATTGAAATATTGGTTGTATATTGGTTGTATAATTGAAATATTAGTTGTATAATTGAAATATTGGTTATATTAAATAGTAAATAATTATATAATTTTAAATAGCAATTATAATAAGTCTAATATAAGCATTATCAAAAAAATTTTTATTAGACTTTTAATTATATTTTGTATAGAGTTAACTATCTATAAAAAATCTATCATAATGATAGATTTTATAGATAGCTAATTCTACACAAAATATAATTAAAAGTCTAATAACAGATAATAAATTTATTTTTTGCTAACAGATTATTCTTATATTAGTATACTGATTCTTTTAATTTTTTTGCAACTTGTTTTTGTAAATTGCTTTTCTATTAGTTTGGCAAAATATGAATTCATTATTTGTAAAAAAAATATTAGTAAAAAAAGTTGGTTTTTTTTTTAATAAATTGTTAGTAAATTAATTAACTTAACAAATTTAATTTTTAAATACTTATCTTAATTTATAAATTTTATAATAATTAGCTATCTATTATATTAAAGTCTATTGCCCGTCCATCAATACTGGCCAATCAGATCCTTCCATTTGATGATCACCTAATTGCAATTCATATATTCATTATAATACTCAGACAACTTATTTGTACTTTTGATAATATTGCACAAATTTTACTTCTATCTCTAAACATAACTTTATTTAATATTCACTATGCAAAAGTATCTCAAAATCATCTTAATCCTGATAAACTTTGCTTAGAAGACAAAATATATCTACTGTTTATTAGATAATCTTAAATTAAAGATAAATAGAAACATTTTTGTTCAAGACTGCCTTATTATATAAACTTTTATTACTAACTATTTTTGCTTTTATATATTAATTTATAATCTTCGTACAAAGTTTCTTTGCTTTCTGGTAATATTAAAGTAATAAATTTTTTAAAATTATATAATTTGATTAGCTAATTGTCATAGGTGATCTCATAAAAATAATTTTTTACTTGATAAATTTTACTATTTCTTGTGATGGAAGCACAGATTATATGCTAGTAGATAATAAAGTTTTATATACTTGTATATTTTGCATGCAAGAAACTAATAGTTGGCAAATTAATAAGTATTTCTACTCAAACAAGACATAAAAAATAAAAAAAAAATCTTCAAAATTTTTTTTAATTTTAAATAATAAATCTAATAATATTTTAAATAATTAAATAAATATTGTTAGTATGGAGGATATTGAAAAAAATATTGAACAATGTAAGATAAAATTTTTTTAGGTTATTTTGAATTAATTTTTTTAAAAATTAAATTAATTTTTAAATTTTAGATTTAGAAATTGAGGAATTGGAAGATAATAAATTAAAAGAGAATAAATTGGAAAAAAATAAATCAGAGAAGGATGAATCAGAGGAGAATAAATTAGAGAAGAATGAACTAGAGAAAGATGAATTAGAAAAGAATAAATTGGTAGAGAATAAGTCAGAGAAAGATGAATCAGAGGAGAATGAATTAGAGGAGAATGAATTAAAGAAGTATAAATTAGAAAGTAGTGAAAAAACAAGGTTTGAATTAGAAGAGAATTTTGATGATACTAAATTTAATGGTAATTATTTTTAATATTTTATTTAAAAATATTTTTTTAAAAATTTTTATATTAATATTTTTATATTTTAAATTTACTAAATAAAATAATTAAAGGGCTTCAACTTCTTTATATCAAAGATAAACATACAATTTCTGATCAAGCATTTAATAAAATATTAGAAATTTTTAATATTTCTAATATTTCTCTTTATTGGTTTCAAAAAGTTTTAGAAAATTTGGTTTCATTAAAACCAAAGCTTATAGATATTTGTTGAAATTCTTGCTATACATTTACTGGACAAAATGCTAATCTTAATACATGTTCTATATATAAAGAGTCACAATATACAACTAAAAAAAATTTAAAAAATCTTAAAAACAATTAGCATATTTTTCAATAATTAATAGCTTAAAATTACAATATAAAAATATATCATGAGCGAAAGATCTTAGATATCGATATGAATATATATTAATTGATAATTCGCCAGTGAGAGGTCATAGTGTAATGTGACTTATAGAAATTAGGGTTTTGCGAATGTGGGCTGCATCATTCTAAAACTTGTTTTCGTACTAAGTTAACCACTTTGGGGCTTCTAATTGAAGGTGTAGAGCTTATTAAGAGAAATCTAATAGTGGTTAAATTGTCAAAATCGGCCTTGTGAATTACAAGATATCTTCGAAAAATGTTTCATTGACTATGTAAAATTCTCTCTTTCGACAATAGTAACGCCAAGAGAATTTTACATAGTTAGCAAAATGTTTTTCAAAGATATCTCGTAATCCACAAGGCCAATTTTGACGATTCAACTACTATTAGATTCCTCTTATTGAGCTCTACAACTTCAATTAGAAGCCCAAAGATGGTTAACTTAGTACGAAAAAAAAAAGTTTTAGAATGATGCAGCCCACATTCGCAAAACTCTAATTTCTATAAGTAAACCGTATCACATTATACTATGACCTCACTGGCTGACTGGTGAATCACCAATTAAGAAAAGAATATATTTCTGAGAATAGCAAAATTGAAGATGTTTTTGATAGCAATAAATATAAAACTTTAGTAGTATTAGGCTTATTTTTAGATTATAGAGATGTTGCTTTAATTGCATCTATAGATTGCTATCAAATTTTTAAGCAAAAACAAAATGATTGTTAGATAATTTTGCTTTTAAATGCAAATCTCCTACTATCAAAAAGAGTAAAAAAAGAAAATTTAATAATTAATATAGTTATACCTGAACCAAAATCTTCAAAAGATTTTAATAGTTTTTTATGACTATTAGTTGATGAATTAAAGCAACTTGAATATAATTTTTTTTAAATTTTAAATTATATGATTAATAGTATTAAATATATTAATTAAATTAAAATTTTGTAGATAGTGTAACTTGTTATAATATAATATTACAAGAAATATTTAAATTGTATAGCTATTTTCTTTCATAGTTTGAAGATATTTCTGCTTTATCTAAAGTTATGTATCTTTCAGGCTATAATACTAAATATAGATGCCAATATTATTACATAAAAGAAATCTTATTCTGCAACTGCTAGATATATTTATTATCTACTTCAATCATTACAAGAATATAATAATAATTATGATCAAAAAAATTTACCAATACATTCTCATAATAGTTATATTCTAGATAATAATGAATACAAAAAAAGTAAGTTTTATTATTATATTAATTAAATTTTAACTTATTTTAATTTATTTATTTATTATATTAATAGGCATAAATAGATATAGTATTTTATTTGAATTATCTTTAATTAATTTTTCTTTATCATTTCTAGTAGATATTATAAATAATTTTTAAAAATATTTGCTTCTCATATATTTCATCACTTTATAGAAAAATTTTTTAAAAATGAAAATTCAAATAATTCTGAATATAAAATTTCAAAAAATAATTAGAATGAAATTGAAAAAATAATTAAATATAATAAGAAAATAATACCAACAGATTTTGGTGGTAGATCTCTTATTAATATTCAAAAATATTACTTATTTTTTAAAGCTGAGGAGTGGTGTAATTGGATAATTTTGTATTCAATTCTGCTTTTGTATAAATATCTTTCAGAAAAGTAATTAGTTTTAATAATTTATAAATTTAAAAAATTATTATTATGAATAATTATTAATTTTTATTAAATTTATAGATATTTAAATGGATGGTTAACTTTTATTAAAGCAACAAAATTATGTCTTAATCAAATGTAATTAAACTACTATTTATCAAATTTATTAAACCTTATGAATAGTAAGTTTTTAAAATATAATTTTATAAAATAATATTTTTAAAATTTTAATAAATATATTTTTTTAGAGAATATTATCAAAAAAATCTAAATATCTATAGGTAACTCTTATTAGTTTTTATTATCTTTTACATATTGCAGAATCAATTTATAAAACTGGTCCAGTATAGGCAACATGGCAATTTTTAATAGAAAGATTATATGAAATATTAATTTCTTTAGTAAATTCTTATGTGCATCCATATAAAAATTTAATAAACCAATTAACTATATAAACATATTTTGCACATTTACAATATAATAATAAATATAATTAGCAAATTTTAAATCAAGTTCTAATAAATCTTTTAATAAAAAAAAATTTTTTCTTTATCAAAAGAATATATAATGGCAAAAGGGAAAATTCAAAAAATTAAACAATATTATGCAACTGAATTCAATTTATTATTAAAAGATATTAAAGTAAATATTTTTATTTATTATAAAATATACTTATAGTAGTTTTGCATCTACTATATATTTTTTTAAATTTAATTAAATTATATATATTTTAAAAAATTTAGATTAATATTACTAAAATTTACAAATATAGCAAATTAAAAACAAAATTTGAATCAATTATTAGTTTATTATTTTCTAATAATAATGAAGATATAAAAGAAATAATTATTCAATTGTGATATATAATTATTTTTAAATTATAAAATATTTTATAATTATATTTAATTATAAAAAAATATAATTATTTTATAATTATTACAGGCAAAATTTCTTGTTAATAAAAATATATATTATCCAAAAACACCTGTTGTTTTTAAAAAACAAGATTTTTATGAACAAATTTTATATTATTTTACTCATAAATATGAAAATAAACCAAATTTATTAGCTTTATATATATTGGGTAAGAAATATAGAAATTTCAAGAAATAATATAAAATTATTTCAATATTTTAAAGAAAAGAGTATTATTAATATAACTGCTATTGATTGTTGTGTGGGTTTTTTAAAGATAGAAAAAAATAAATATATTATTATAGATAAAGAAAATTAAATAATATTTTAAAATATTTTAAAATATATTTGGTTCACATAATTTTGCTAAGTAGAAATCAAATTATTTTTTGTAATATTTTTAGAATATTTTTATTATTAAAATTTCTAATTTAAATATAAATATAAAATCAGATTATTTTCTTTAGTTTTCTGAAATATACTTTATTATTAAATTTTTAATTTATATATAAATATAAAATCAAAATATTTCCCTTAGTTTTTCCAGAATATACTTTATTATTAAAATTTTTAATTTATATATAAATATAAAATTGGAATATTTCTTTTAGTTTTTCTGGAATATATTTTTTTATTAAAATTTTTTAATTCAAATATAAAATATTTTTAGAATACTTTCTGAATACTTTTTGTAACAAAAATTTATACAATATTTTAAGATCTTTAATTAGAATATAATCAGAATATTACTAAAATATTTAATTAAAATTAGAATATAATGATTAAAAATTTTTATAGGATAACAACAAGTTTGCTTATGAAAAACTAAGAATATTGTTGTATTTACTTTGTTGTTTTCTATATCATTGACTATAGTTCAATAAATTTGTTGTTGACTAGAGGATTATTAGAAAGAGTTAAATAATTACACCACTTTAGAAATCTTTTAAAATTAGATTTATTTAAATTTTTTTTGTATAAATTAATATTTCTTAAAAAGTACTAATTTTTTATACAAACTTATTAGTTTTTTTTATTTTACACAAACCTTATAATATTATACAATATTTTATACAATGTATAACTAATTTTTATACTATATTAGCTATACTAGCCACTAGCTATACTAGCTATACTTGTATTATCTTAGAATATCTAGAATATATAATCTTATACAAGCTGCAGTAGCTATAGTAATAATCTTAGAAAAAACATACTACTTTTGTCAAATACTAATTTAACTATTAAGTTAAATAACTTAAAATTTTACTAAATAAAAAAAACTTGTATTCTTAAGTAAATATATAACTAATATTCTATACTCTTTATATAAATATATTATATACTATGAAATACAATACCTACTCCTATAGCTCAAACTCCAGACATCTTAGAGCTTGATAAATTCTATACTCACTATGCTAAATTTTTTGGTACAACAATCTATAAAAAAGAACCTGATAAGATTAATACTATTCCTACCCAATTTTGTTCTATTGTTTGTTATATTAAGAACTTGAAAAATTATTAAACAACATACTTTCTACCAATCCTATCAACTAAACAAATAGTTACATATTTATATAATAGTTTTTATACAAACTTTAAATCAGATAAAAACTAAATTTTAATATTTAAGTAACTGCTAGCCTTACAATATTTAATAAACAAATCAAAAAATTTATTACAATTTTACAATCATTAAAGTTAGAGCTATTAGTAGGTGCTTTATTAGTTTTGAATAATTTATAGTATGTGGTATAAATAGTATTG